CGGCGATCGCGGCCGCGGCAACACGGAAACCCAAGCGCCCCCCTGGAGGCGATAACCCACCCGCAGACTCCCGAGAGGCCTGGGCCTCCGGTGGGAGGGGGGCAAGACATCTAACGAAGAGCGAGATAGTGCGGAGCGAGGACGACCCAACTTACCTTAGGTTTCTCCTCGGACATGGCGACGCGTCAGGCAGAGACCTCTCGGGGAGCGAGTCTGCACGCGCTCTACTCTGAGCCCCGCTTCCCTCCTCTCTCGCCTCTCCCGCCTGCAGCAACTGCTCGCGTGAACGCGCTTCGCGCCCAGTGCTTTCCTGCTTCCTGTTGGCCCTGAGCGGGTCACGTGGGGCATGCACGTTCTCGGCGCGCGCTCCCGAACGATGCTTGGCTCGTCGGGAGCGCGCTCCATGGGGTGGGGGAGGTGATGGCGCCGAAGGTGCGTCACGATCGTCTGAAGTGGGAGCTCTGTGGTTCCTAGAGAACGTTACGAGGTGGGGGCGTGGCCACTTAGAGCGCGGGAGGAGGAAGAGGCGGGGCCGGTTACCCTATTTTTTAAAAAAAAAATGCTGGGGAACTGGGTGGGGACGTAATATTGGTTTATTAACCTAAAGGGGGATTGTACTAGGCTGTACGGTTGTAGGAAAAGAAAAAAAGAATCTAGTCTGAAAACAATTCAGCACGTGTATCTTTTGTAACACTCAGTCGCAAGAGAAAGATTACATGTGGAAGTCTCCCTTTGAACTGTAGTTTAGAATTTTAATTGGAAGAGGCTATTTAAATTTCAATCATTCCCATGAAATGGGAAGTCACTAATTAGAAAATGAACGAGAACAATGCCAATATATCCATCATTATTTGTATTTAGTGTTTACAGGGACTGGATTAGCAACTTGTTTAAAAATATTGGTCTGAGAAAAATATTGATGGTCTAATGTATTGTTCTTATGCATATCCTATGCATATGCCTACATATAGACACATTATTAGACAAGTATTTCCATTGTGAAATGCAACTGCTCTACAATTTTAGCCTATGATGAAATCCTGCATCACTCTAAGCCAGGGGTGGGGAACCTTGGCCCTTTTATGACTTATGGACTTCAACTCCCAGAATTCCCGAGAATGGCTGGCTCAGGAATTCTGGGAGTTGACATCCACAAGTCATTAAGAGCCAAGGTTCCCAGCTCACTAATTATGAACCTAAGACTCACTATGCAGGATTTTGTGTTTTGAGTATCACATGAAGGGTGGCAGTATAGTTTTTTTAAAAAACCCATTGTTTATGGCTTACCATGAATCCAGCCACCCGTGGCACTACATGCATGACCTCTTCAGTATGAGTTACTAAAGTCTTGTTCTTTGAAAATGAAAGCTTTTCCTGCATACCTTTAAAAAGTAGGAAATAAGTGAGCAATACAGCAATCCTATTTGAAGCAATAAAATTATTTCCCTATGAAAAGTTCACTATGAACTTGCAGATTTATCCCCACAGATTGCAAATGGGAATAAGGTACAATTTAATACAGTTCTCTGGATAAATTGGCAAAAGGCATGACCTAGAGGAATTAGTCATCTATTAAATTACCCCTCAAAAAATGCAAAAATTTCCTTTGCTGAAAATGTTGAGAAATAATCTGTATACACGTGCATTCACAGAAAATAAACCAGAGAAGTGAAGACTAGCCATTTTCTTAATTTAAGTGGAATATTTAAAAAAAAAAAACGCATTTAAGCTTTACAATTACCCCTTCTACTTTCTATTGTTCATTGCAGTGGTCGGATTCTATTTTTTTTACTACCATTCTGTGGACGTAGCAGGGGAAGGATACTGTAAAATCTCCAGTCAGAGGTGGGATTTGCCGGTTTTCCAAACTACTCAAAATTTCCACTACTGGTTCTCCAGAACTGGTCAGAATCTGCTGAATACCACCTCTGATTCATTGCCAGTATACCATAGAGCAGGGGTGTCCAACCTTTCACCTTCCCTGGGCCACATTAGAAGATGAAAATTTGGTTTGGGCCGCACATAAAATAAAATAACAGTAACGATACCTGATCATCCAAAAAAACCATAGAAAACATATTTAACATATTAAATTTATTTGGAAATAAAGTTAGTGAGATGTTTTTATTATTTATTATTAATTAAAAATTATTTATTTTTTATCACGGTTTTTTTATCACGGTTTTTTTTATCACGGTTTATTTTCCAGCCAAATTTTGCAGGGGGGGGGAGAAAGCTCGCCCGCCTCGCGCCTACCTCTCCTGCAAATGGCCCGGCTGGATGAGGCAGGACTGGAAGGCAGAAGCAGCAGCAGGGCAGGGGCAGAAACGGCAGCGGGGGCAGAAGCGGCAGCGGGGGCAGAAGCGGCGGCGGCGGGGGCAGAAGCGGCAGCGGCGGCAGGGGCAGAAGCAGCGGTGGCGGGGGAAGAAGCGGCGGCGGTGGGGGCAGAAGTGGCGATGACGGCGGGGCAGCGGCGGGGGCAGAAGCGGCGGCAGCAGGGGCAGAAGTGGCAGCGGGGTCAGCGGCAGCAGGGGCAGAAGCAGCAGCGGTGGCAGGGGAAGAAGCGGCGGCGGTGGGGGCAGAAGCGGCGACGGCGGCGGGGGTGGCAGCAGGGGCAGAAGCGGTGGCGGTGGGGGCAGAAGTGGCGGGGGAAGCGGCGGCGGCGGTGGGGGCAGAAGGGACAGTGACAGCGGGGGCAGAAGGGGCGGCGGGGGCAGAAGCGACGGCAGCGGCGGGGGCAGAAGCGGCGGCAGTGGCAGGGGCAGAAGCGGCAGCGATGGGGGCAGAAGTGGAAGCAGGGGCAGAAGCGGCGGTGGGGGCAGCGGCGGCAACAGCAGGAGGTGGCGCTCTGATGGCGCCCGCCTTTTCTGTTGCTGCTTGGCCTGGCGCTCGCCTCACCCTGGCCTCTCCTCCTCCTTCTCGCTGGCTCTGGCACGAAGGTTGGGGTGGGCACTGGGCCGCATTATGAGGCGACCTGGGCCGCATGCGGCCCGTGGGCCGCGGGTTGGACAAGTCTGCCATAGAGTATTCTTTGCAAACATGGAACTCAGCTTGATTTTAAGAAAATTATTTCCTAATTTAAGCACAATGGTAAGCATATTCACAGGTGAAAAGTGTGTAAAGGCGTGTTTCGTGTTATTTTGGAAGGCATCCAAGTTTCATTAAGTCGAAGTCACTGAAATCTTTATTTTATAGTGGCAATGAAACCGCAAGAAATTAATTGGAAGTCACTGTTTTAATATTTTTTAGTGGGTGATCATTATTTTCAAGCACCTGCATATGTATATCATAATTTTTATACCTTATTTCATCAAACCAGCATTCTGGTACAGAAATATCTTTATAAATGTTAAGTGTTTCTAGTGTTATTCATATCTCAAATATTTAATGCATATTTTGCTACAGCTAGGTAATCTGGAATACCATTAAAATAAATACAATTGCTTAAAAGAAAATTTTACAATATGTACATAAGCTGTAGAGTTCCAACAGTAGCCACCCCATCCAGATGTCTTCTATAGAAAATACTTAAGACATTTCTGGTCCAAATGAAAGCACAATCAAGGTACAATTCGGGGAAGAATAGTTTTGTAGGATATGTAGGATACACAGCAGTAACCTACAATAACACAAGAGGGCACTGATTACCTTTGTTAGCAATGCCAAGATTGATTTTTATGTTCTTCAAAGAGAACTAAGGCTAACATTTATGATCACCAAAACCCAGATAATGTTCTCAAAGATCCTTTGAAATCCTTAATTTTATTGAAGAAATGAGTAATAATTTCAGTACATTAAAATGAATTTTGCATCAAGATTAATTTATATATTAAGAGGAATTCTACTGTTAACTTCTATTAGATAAGTTCATGAAAATGTTTTTAGGCAGTGTCTAACTTGCAAGTTCTCATTTTAAGATCAAGAGAGTTGTGAAGATTAATAGGAAGAGATTTTAAAATGTTATTTTTTTATTTAGTTAGTCAAGTATTTTACATTTTTCACTATTGTTAATCTTACTATGATAAATGAATTGCACCGAAGTTTTTGTAATAGGGTTTTATCTTTTGGAAATGTATATATTCAAGCAAGGAAAGCTCTACAGAAACTTCACTGTGACCTTTATAAAACAGTCAACTGAAGAGTAAATATATGAAAGCATTTCAAAAGAATTGTAGTTACTGTACAACTGACAACACAATATTCATAGGACTACAGAAGAATACTATATATTTCAGGGCATGAGCATTTTATTTAACTCTTTTCAGATAAAAAAAATTAAGGCTAATATTCCATATTCTTCACCAAATTTTCTGCTATACTCAGGAAAAAATATGTAAACTATAAGTATCCTTCTTTAAAAAGTTACTAAATGTTTTTTCAAAGTAATTGTTTTCCAATTAACATCAATTATTACAAAAGCAATTTTTCTTAGTCTTGATATGACCTGACAGAAAAAAATAAAAATGTTTACCCTCCAGTGCATAAGACTCAAAATGTAGAATTGTCTGAAATCAGACTATTGCATCAAGCCGAAAGACTTTATCAATAAGACTTAAAGTATACATACATAAACTTACATGGTGGTTATAAAGGACATTCTGACATTGTACAATAAGTTGCCATTTGGATACATAAGGACACAATGTGATATGCATTTATACATTAAAGAGTTTGGCAAATTTGTTATTACAATATTAAAGTAATTTAAGAAGACTGAATATAGCTAAACATTTAGTATTTAAACGCATATGGCTAAATGAAGTTCAAAGCAATATCAAGCTCTTATTAACATTCAGTTTTAATTACTTCTATGGTAGTTTTTAAAGGCACAAAACAGAAGGATTCAACATATATTGCAAAGAAATGTAGAATCAATTTATAAAAGTGCAGATCTTTAGAATTCCATGATAACAAAAAATATTTTGAGAGCTATTTCTTTCTGGAATAATGTAGTCACTTGCCAGGGAATCTATTAAAGTATGATATTTTTGTATAGGAAATTCCAAAGTATATACAAGGATCTTAAAAACCTTGTCTTATTTCTACTATTAATATTAGAATGTCTCAAACTGTTGGTCACAAAAGAAAAGGATACAGTATGTGCACCATCCTGTCCCAATTCATTAATAAATTTGGCTTAAGATTTTGCTGGCAATTGAAGAATTCCCAAAAAGCAAAATATTATAGTAGCACAAGCAACTGCTTAATAGTTAGGAAAAAAATAACATGAATATATTGCAGCCTCCAGAGTTTTAGAGGTATGTTGCTTTGTTCATTAATTGCAGTCTTTATCAGACACTGTAATTATAGCCAGCTCCATCTTGCATTAAGACCATTTTTCTATTTGCAATTAAAGCATCTAACGTACATTTTTTCACACAGCTGTACATTATATAGACAGCACTGCCAGATGATATTTGGGTATTTCAAAAGAAATCTTAGTTATTTTCAAATTTGGCATATGGATTTTCTTCTTTAAACAAACCTGAAAGAAAAAAAAATACTTATTTAGAACATTAAAAATATCAGTGGCACGTAGCAGTGGAACAGAGGGTATTCACCATTCTTGCTATGTCAAACATCAGTGCAACTGTCTTCCTTCACCCCCTTTCAAATTAAACTTTAGAGGCAAGAGGCAAGAAGTAGCAGTCACTAAAGGAAGAATATAGTCCTGAAAACTATTTTAGGCTTTATAATCAGAACCCACCAAAACATTAAGCATTATTCTTCCTAACAAAAATATCATGATATAAGATAGTTTACCTCACCTCTATATTTTATTACAAACAATGGCTTTGTAACAAAGGCTTTACTTTAAAAAGATGTAAAATCTAGTACACATTACCATATTTTTTCCGGATTTCATCATGTCTAGATTTCATCTCTGCTCTCCTGTAGGAAAAGATCAAGCATGTTATTTTATGGAAGAGGTGGATGTCCAAACAAACTACCCTTTATAGGGTAAATAACACAAATAAATAAAAATATAATGGGTTAGAATTATAAGACAGTCTGGACTTCCAGTTTGAGTTTCTTTGCTGACAGACCGAAACCACGATCGTGCATGGTTTCGATCCGTGCTCGCTGCCGGAGCGCCCCGAGCCAGCTGACTTTGGGGCTAAGCCATCCTGTAGAGGTGGTGAAGAGGGGGGACACTGCCAGCAGGGTTGAGGAGAGCCGCATCTCCTCCTCAGCTGGCCATTACCCAAAGGTGGTTGCAGCAGTGGTCAGAAATGGCCACCTCAAAGAAGAACTCGACCGGAAAAGAATGTGCAGGAGGAAGATAAGAAGTGAAAGTCTTGGTTGACCAGGTTAATGTGCAAAAGCAACAACGCAAGGTACCCTGGTATTTAAACTATAAAAAAAAAATAACATTGTTCCCAAAGAAGATTTTGAAGCAGCGAAGGAGAGAGAAAAGGGAAAGGACTGGGTTTGTTTTTTCTCTTCCCTTCTATATACTGACAGCTAAGAGACTTAAGCAAGAAATTGAAAAAATAAAGTTGAGAAAATTAAAAGAGGGGAAAAACTATGTAGAAAATGTAAAACAGTAATAAGATATGGAATAGAACACAAGAATGAGCATGAAATTGAATTTGTGTCTGTATGAAGAAGTGTAACCCGGGATCATGCTATTTTTAAAAAAAAGATTTTATTTGTATTATGTTTTTTTTGTGAAAACCCAAATAAAATTTTCAAAAAAACCCCAAAAAACAGAATTATAAGACAGTCTGAATAATTACCAGAAAACCTCTCCACAGAGGGAATAAATGTTCCAGTCAAACATCAAAATAATGTAATGAAACTATCGGATGAACATACAGTATATAATGCAGAGATTTTACAAAAGTTTCATTTAATCTGATTAGTATAAAACTACTTCCATAATTTCAGTCCAAATATAGACTATCCCATACTGCCTATTCTATGTGTTTTATATTCAGTACATTCTTAATACTGAATAATAAAAAACCCATTTGCGTCTAAATCATTTTAAAAAATGGAACTGAGACATATTTATATTAAAGTAATTTCCTCTAAAAGATGTTAAGAAAATGAGGTGCTTTTTACCCAGCTTACAGGTCTCATTTTAAAGTTCAGGAATACTTTGAATAATGTATAATCCTTTATGCAAGTATTTTGGTTTTTTTTTTAAAAAAATCACATTGTCAAACTTTTCCTTCATTACTATCTAGGTGTAAAAAGATCTAGGAATGGCACTGATAATTCTGGCAGATTTACAGATATATTACCATGCACATATGCAGTTAATCTAATGTGGAATTTTCAGATAATTCAACATATATGGGCATCTTGGACTCCTGCAATGAGATCTTAAAACATTTGTGCTTGGTGTTCTACACAGACATCTTCCAGAACAATAAACAATGGGATAAAGGCAGGGACATCAGCAATGCCTGGGAAGGTAGAAAGAGTAAATGACCAAAGAAAGGATGAGTAGATGAATCATGCTTGGATTCAAATGACCCTGCGACTATGGGGCAGTAAGATGCTGGGAAAATTGGCAGGCAGGCTGGGACACAGGAATAGAAGAATAATGGAAAATTAGAGGAGGGGAGCAGCCTTGCCTTTCTCAACCCATAAGACCACTCTGGATTTTGTTTTATCAAAAATTCTTACATGTTTTGCTTTGGTCAAATGGAAAACAGTTTGGACAAACATTCAATCACAGTAAGTTTGCTTCATTCACAAGAAGAAACAAATTTCTTTTTTTGTGCTCACTCCTATTATATCTGTGCAAAATTTCAAGAAAACATTCAATTGTGAAGCAAACTTTATTTCTTGATTTGCATGAAATGACCCAGATTAGAAAAAGCAAGCCTGACTGGCATCCATAAACTAGAAGGAACACACCTTTCTTCTTGCCGAACTCTCCTTTGCTCTTGTTCCCTGGCAGCCTTTTCATCCTCTTTATCAACCCTGTTTAAAATAAGATTGCAAACAGGTTGCAATATGTCATTATTCCATATTATGAACTCATCAAACCATTAAAAAATTAATCAAATATAGACTGTCATTAGGGTATCAAGTGAGATTTTATGGCTGTATGGAGATATAGAATCAACGTGCAATTTGCAAAATTAAGAAATGTACCAAGGGATACTATTATGCACTTTGTTAGGAGGACAGCCGCTTTTTACTTCCAGGTTGAAGATAAATAATGCAGATATGATGTACTTAAACAAATCTCAACCAGAATCATAATACTGCACAATAAAGAGAGTATTTAATTTTTACTGACAAGTTGAAACAGAAAATATACCACTTCACTTCAAGAGTGATCTTCCCTTTTGAACACAGAGATTTAAATGAATTCATTCCAAAAATTAAGAGAATTCCTAGAATAAAAATTCAAGGGGAATTGGAAGAAGCGTAAGTGGAAGTGACAGAGGGGCCCAGAAAACAGCTACAAGAAAATAGGGAATTCACCATGTTAGCTGCTATAGGTATTGACATTTCTAAATGTCTGGCCTACGTGCATTTAAAAGTCCTATTTTTTCCTTCCTAATGTTTTTCCTGGGTGTGTAGGATCTTCTTTTTCCAGATCAACAGAATATAGACCATTAATTATGACAGAGATTGACTGACCGGCTAATTAAGGAGAGAAGCAACCTAGAAATAAGGATAAATTTCTTGACACTTAGAACAATTAATTAGTGGGACGGTTTGACTTCAGAAGTTATGGCTACTGCCTCACTGGAGGTTTTTAAGAACAGATTGGACAATCATTTCTCTGAAATGGTAGACTCTCCTACTTAAGCAGGGCTTGGTCTAAAGAAACTCCAAGGTCCCTTCCAATTTTGTTATTCTGTAATTTGTTAAAAGAAATGCAAAAATGTGAGTAAACAATTTATTTCAGCAGGAGCCAAAAAGAGAAATGGTTTATATATAAATCCCTAATTGCAACCAGAACTGATACTGACAGATAATTGTCCGGTTGAAGTTATTTGCATGGGATCAACATTCTGAGAAAGGGAATTTATGCTCCAAATAAGGCTAAAGTAACATTTTACAAGGGACATGAATAAATCCGTAAAATAACAGATGAAAGCTGGCTTTTAATGGGAGATTGGAATGGAGTAATGTGTCCACACGAAGACTGCATTTTTGAGAAAGATATTAAAATGACAAGGTAAATTACCAAGATGTTTTCTTAAAAAAATATGGTTAATTTATAATTGTGGATGCACGGAGTGGTGCAAAAGAACATACTTATTTTTGTTCAAATACATACAGTACAGGTAGCCCACAACTTACAACAGTTCATTTAGTGACTGTTCGAAGTTACAATGATGCTGAAAAAAGTGACATGAATATTTTTGATACGTACAAAAGTTGTAGCATCTCTATGGTCACATGATCAAAATTTAGATGCTTGGCAACTGGTTCATATTTATGACCGTTGCAATATCCTTGGGTCATGTGATCAGCTTTTGCAACCTTCTGACAAGCAGAGTCAATGGGGAATCCAGAGTCATTGAATAATAGTGTGACTAACTCAACTGCAGTGATTCACGTAACAACTTGGCAAGAAAGGTCGTAAAATGGGACAAAATTCACTCAACAAAAGTTTCACTTAGCAACATAAATTTTCAGCTCAATTGTGGTCATAACTCGAGGACTATCTGTAGATCTTTTTCAAGAATTGAAGAATTTGGCTATTATTGTTCAAAGAGTAGATACTGCCAAAAACTTTTTCATGCACAGCCTTTAGCACTTAAAAGGAAAATCGGTTCTTTCAGAGGGAGGTTAAATGAAACATTGTTTCAGAAAGCAATTGTAATGGATGATTGAAAAAAAAAGTTAAAGGAATTTTTAATAATCTTAATAAAGGTACAGACATAAAAATAGTTTGGGGCACAAGTATAGGTTTTATGAGGGGACATTTTATACAACAAAAGAGGAAGCTCTCCTCCAAAAAAGACAAGGAAAAACAGCAATTTTCATAATAATCTTAGAGAAAGAGAGTACATTATAAATTATATCTGCTTCTTTATAATTTAAGGAGGAGCCATAGTGATTAGAATACAGTATTGGAGGCTGACTCTATCTACTGCCAGGAGTTTGACCAGTTCAAGGTTGACTCAGCCTTCCATCCTTCCGAGGTCGGTAAAACTAGGACCCAGATTGTTGGAGGCAATATGCTGACTCTGTAAACCGCTTAGAGAGGGCTGTAAAGCACTAAGAAGCATCATATAAGTCTAAGTGCTATGGCTATTTTTCATTTGTCTCTTTTTTTACTTATTACTCCTCTTTCAAAATTTGTATTTTTATTCTCTTAAAAATATATTTAATAAAAACTATAGTAAAACATATTGCTATTCTAATATAAATTTATCCCAAAATCATTTGATACTTGCTTTCTGTTCTTTTTTTTCCTGCAGCAGACACAGCAACAGATGAAAAGTGTGAGAAGAATTATTCCTCCCACTACAGACATGGTAATGATCAGTGCTTCAAAATTCACTGAAATATTTAAACACAAAAAAGTTAGTGTGGAAACTAACTGCCAAGGAAATATTCATTTAGTCAATTTTGAGTGCTATTTGTTTATTTAAAAAGAAAATATTTCAAGCAAAGATTGAAAGCTTGTATCTTGAGGAACCTACATACATTAGAGAAGTTTCATACAAATGAGTTACGAGGAGCCAAATTAAAGCCCCCCTGCAGTAAAAAGAATTGAATATATTTAGTCTCAGTGGCAGCTGATTTTCCCACACACAAATTTTAACTCTTATAGTCATGAATCTGACATTTGAAATGGGAGTGGAGGACAAATTAGCTGCTACTGAGACCCCCCCCCAATTTTTTAACTTTCATACACATTAATATGAACTTTCAAAATCAGAATCTACATATTTTCTAGTTACCAAATACTGCAGTCAAGCAGAGAATGATACAGTGCAGTCATATTTTGTTTTAATTAATTAGATTTTTATCCAGTCTTTATAATTTTACAAATAACTCAAGGTGGTGAATATACCTAATAATCCTTCCTCCTCCTATTTTCTCCACAATAGCAACTCCGTGAGATGGGCTAGGCTAAGTGTGTGAGAGTGGTCCAAAGTTATCTAGCTGGCTTTCATGCCTTAGGCATGATTAGAACTCACTGTTTCCTGGTTTCTAGGCCAATACTTTAACCACTACACCATACTGACTCTGTTTGCAATTCCTTATACAATCACCAGAGGCTTAATATTTGAATTGATTAGCAACTAATACATTTTATTCCATTAAAATTTGTATGATACAACTGGAAGATACTGATGGCTGATACTAAAAGAGGTTTTTTTCCTATCATCTTGAAAGTTATGGTAATTTGAACTGTACATGTTGCAAAGAAACTGTAAGTTTCTGTTAAGAAGTTAATCCTACAAAACTTTACAGTAATATGAAATATTTGCAGGAGGAAGGCTATTGTCTAAAACATAACATGCTAGTGACAACTAAAGGAAAATTTCTTGAGTGAACTTACCCCAACATACACCCCAGCGTGCAGAGCTCAGCTCACAAAGAGAACTTGGAGGGAGGATATTCCGAACAGGATACTCCACACATTTTTTGCTGCTGCTGCACCATAAACACTAGAAGAAGAAAAAATGTGATTAAATAACACAAGGTAAGAGAGATTGCAAAAGTTAATTAAAAATGAATCAGTACTTTATTATTCATTACAAAAAAAATTTTTTTGGGGGGGGGGGATGTTGTTTCTGTCACATGCCTTGAAGTAGCATGCGAGTCAAATAAAAATAAAAATACAATATTTATATCAGTACAATAACAAATCACAATTGTCATCACCATAATATGGCATTTAGCTCAGGTACATTTTTTTTTTTAAAAGTTTTACTAGCTTCCTGTATCTCAAGAATGGGGCTAAAGTCCCCTTTCTGGTAGCAAGACATTCTATAATAAGGGAGCTTCAGCAGAAAATAGTTGCTTCTGTGATGTATGATTGGGAACCCTGGTAGATGTTCAGGCTTCAACTATGTAGAATTCTATAGGCTATCATCAGCATCTTCAATTATGCTCAGAAACCAACTGGTAATCATGAAACCAACTTTATATGGCAATAACAAGTTATCCATGCACGTAGGTGGACTGCTACTTTTGCTATAGCTGGATTTTTAGATGGCTTTCAAGGGCAGGCGCCTGTAACTTAAGAAACAATAAATCATCCAAACTGTGACAAAGGATGTGTGATCTTTATTAGATAAGAACAGTCATTAGTGATACACTAGCTGGGCAAAGGGCTCAATGTAGATATTAAATGAAATAAAAGAGTCAAATCTTGTGGCATTCATACTGAATGCCCAATGGCTCAATCTTTCATCTTCCCTGTCATTCCTAACAGAGAACGTCTATTCAGGAAAGAGCAGAGCCACCATTGAACATATCCCCAATTGCTATCCCTTTCAATCCAGGCATGCAGAAGGATGATATTTTCGATGCTATTAAAAGACTGCCAAGAAATCCAACAGGCTAGGCTCATGGTCCTCATCCAGGTCCTGCCAAAGGTCATCAGCAGAAATGACCAATGCAGTTTCTGTCCTGTACTTTTAGAAACATTGGTTTACCCATGAAGAAAACAGGAGGCTAATCGTTAAACTGATTCAGCAATGCTTCTTATCAAAATGTTGAATTCAGCACATTTTATGCCAAGAAAATTAAGGGAAAAAAAATCCAATTCATAATTTTAAGGAAAAAAGGAGCACACAAGTGATCATTTTGAAAAACATTATACCTTTACTATTATGAAAAAGTACAAAATTTACAAACAAGAACATTTACAAAATAAAAAACAGAGAAAAAAATAGGTAAAAACTTGCAAACAGCATTTAAACAGATTGATTATAAACCCTCTGGATAAGCAGGATTTTTGTTAATCGTACGAGTATTTTGTGCCAATGGGGTACAGCAAGTCCAATTAAGTTCCAGAACTGAATAATACTTTTGTCCTAATCTGGCATCAAAGGCTTTAGAAATGCTTGATTTAAGAACTTTAACTTGCAAACATGCAGGCAGGCTTAACTGACAGATTAGTTAATTAAAAAGTGAGCTCTATCAATGGTTGTTAGCTAAAATTTAAAGGAGAGCATTTCTCAACTTCCAGCAAGATTTTTCTTCAATCTTTGCCACATGCCTTGCAAAAGTTAAGCCACACTAGATGCTGCACATCCTGTTTTTCAATATCCATCAAGATAGCTTTTTCCACCTTTGATTTTCAGGTAGTTGCAATAACTTCCACCAGTTTAAAGAATAACCTGTTCTGAAGATAAGCTGTCACTATTCAAAATACACTGATTCAAAGTTATATATTTTCCTGTATCATGCAGATTGCATCACTTTCCTAATGGAACCTGAAGCTTTTCCTATTGTTCTAGCAAGTGTACATCAGTACATTATTTGACAATTATAATTTTCATATTCTCATATAAGATTAAAGATTCTTCAGCTTTACATGTTTCTTTGTCGTAAACAATACATGTGTGGCACAAAGGCAACACAGTCAAATAAGCAATAAGAGTCCCTTTATTATTTCCAACTTTGCCCCCAATGTCCAGGTTACCTTCAGTTGGAGAAAAAACTCTCCCAGGAACAGCCTTTAACTATAGAAAATTCAGTCCAAAACAAGGTACATACAATCTGTAACTAAAAATCCAAACAAACCAAGATGAAGTAATTAGCTTGACAGGGCAGGAGAAGGAATTTCAGACTTGAAAGCACAGCAAAACTCATACAGTTAGGAAGACATCAGGAACACAGATAAGCCACAATGATACAAGATAAATTCACGTTTACTCCCAACAGCTTGCTGTGAGCAGCTTCCTTTTTTATACACTGTGTTCCCAGCTGCAGCTAATGAAGGGAATCAGGTCCCTTTCCTCCCCCGTAAGATACGCAACTCATGTTGCTTCCTTCTCCGTTCCTCCCTGCGTGCCCTAGGATGAAGAGGAGGTGGGCTTGGGTCTTCCTTTGAATTCCCTCTCCCTTGTTCTACCTTTTCCCTGCTCTGCCCAGCTGGACTTTGCCCTTCCCCAGTTTCTTCCACAGCCAATGGAGCCACACCACCCACTCCCTGTCAGCTGTTTGGCTTTCCCCATCCAAGCCAGATTCTGACAGGGGCATGACAACATATTATGCTCACTCTATAAAGCAATGTAGACTATGAAATTATCTTCTTTGCAGTGATTTGTAATCATTTTATCCACTTTGTCTCCATTATGCATTTCTGATTTTTTAAATCAAATATTTATGTTTCAAATAAGCATTAAAATGTATCAATACAATTTATTATTGTACACAATGCTTAGTAAGCAAATCAGCTGATACATAAACCACAGAAGATAACAGTAAGCTCTCACTTTAATGGATTAATGAGGGGAATGCTGTCTGCTATACACAAATATCCTTCAGATTTTGTTTGCATGCATAACATCCTTGTACACATGTATAAAATAGCCAATTGGACTTTAAGTGCATATAACATGGCAAAGTGTCTTCCCAATGCATCTGCTAAACTGAGCTGCAGTGCAGGCTTTACTATGACAACTGTAGGGAAAAAAATCATTGCTGAAGAAACTTCTTTAGAACTCCTGTTCTTCATAATGCCTTATAAAATGTTAATTTTATATAGGAGGCTTCTCTGCTCCTGTCAAACAACAAAACTATAATATTGATTCTTGGCTAGTGTGGAACTTAATTTGGAATTTAAAGTATTGTTAACTTTATACATTTCAAAAAGCTTGAAAAGGCAGTTTAGCTCATTGTTTTTCCAAACAATTAAAACAATAAAACTTTTTAACAATTGTAAACATTTTCTTCTTTCCCCTAATATTTGTTTCATATAATTTAGCAAGTTGATAATCATTTTTCATGTTTTTGCTTTAAACCTTTCTATAAACTACTCAAATACATAATCATCTATTCTGCTATTTTCCTCTTTAACTAGCTCCTCTTCGAATAAAGAAATTTCTGTTCTTTTACAGGCCAGTGTCTCCCTTTCACATTACTAAGGTGCCACATGTCAAGCATCTGACTCTTTCCCATGCTGATGTCTTACATTTTATTCTTTTTTTTTGCCACCCTTCCAGCCCTATCTAAGACAAAATGTTGTTTAAAATTATACATTCTTTCAGTTCCCCATTTTTAATTTTTTAACTGTCTTTCCCACTAAAGGGTAGAAATTGATTTCTAGAGTATCATCTAAAAACAATTATGAGATTTAATACAAGCAAACTTCTTTAGAAGAATGAAATTTTCCCAAAACATTAATTCTAGACAAATCATGCAAAATACTAATAGATTTAGTTTCAGACTACAAATTCTGTAAATTCCAACCAGATGGGAACCAAAATTCAGACCTTATGTATCCTGTGCCATGCCAAACATTTCTACTTCCTGGCATGGATACAAGATTGTGAAGAATGGATGCTATAATTCATTCTCCCTTCAGATGATTATCACAAAACAGCAGCAAGAACAAGCTATGCTTCTTAGATGCATGCTCATTCTTACTCTGCATCTGAAAAGAAGGTAACTTCACAAGCGCAGCTGCATATTATTATATAATATATGCATATTATGCAGAATATGCAGAAACTGCATATTCTGCAGAGCAGAGCAGGAGACTCTTGGGGCCCACTAGTAATTAATAGCTCAAGTATTGAAACATTCAGAGCTCAACTCTCAGAATAAAGCCCAAGGGGGCTCATTTCCAAGTTAGAATTCAGACCTGCAATGTAAATGTAGTTAGGCTAATATTACTCAGTAAGGTCACTTTTGCACCAGTTTGGTTTGCACTTTTAGAAACCCTTTTTAAGTAGAAAGGTAGCATAAACATAAATCAGAAATAAAACAGATGTAATTAGCTTTCTTTTGCATGACAAACTTTTTACAATAGCCAATCCATTGAGCAAAGGGATAGAGGAGACATTTTATGGCTGAGCAGCACTTCATCATATTATGACTCACACTATTAAATTATTTGTAACCTCAAGGCATTCTCGGAAATTATGATAATGGAAGCTAGAGCTGTTTATCCTGTTTTATAGTAAGTATTAGCAATTGTAAAAATTCAGGTGGAATGGGGAACTCATCTAGCACCAAGGAAGATATCTGCAAGTACACCGATATCCCTAGGAATCATACTGAGTAATCTGAAGTACAAAACTGAATTGTATTCATTAGTAATATACCATTTCGATATAATGAACATACAACTTTCGAGAACAAATAAAACTGTTTCTTCCTTCCTCAATCTTTAGCATTAGCTTAGGTTCTATAATTATATGATTCAAACTGTTTCTAAACAGAATTTATCAACAATTTGAAATAGGGCGTGAATAGGTTTTTCAGAGTGATGGTATTCTACTGGTTTGGCCCAGTTCTGCCGAGCCAGTAGCAGCAATGAGCAGCAGAGACCGAACCGGTTCTCTCCACCACTCTGCTGTTGGGCCCATCCGCCCGCCCTGGCTCCCCTACTCACCTTTATCCTCTGAATTTGAAGCATAGCTGCTTTGCGCGGCACAGCAGAATGCTGTGGCAATTGCTGAACAGGGGTGGCTTTCAAGGGCAGGCGCCTGTCAAATTTTTTTAACAACCGGTTCTGTGGGCATGGTTTAGTTGGTGGGCATGGCTTGGTGGTCATGTGACTGTGTGGACATGGCCTGGTGGTCATGTTACTGGCTGGGCATGGCGGCCAACTCAACATCACTCACATCGAGGCACGCATTTCCTTGCCTGGCCTCTCTTGACTGTGGGGATGCTGCAAAAGTCGTAAGTGTGAAAAATGGTCATAAGTCACTTTTTTCAATGGTCACTCCATACAAGCAAAGTACCAGCAAAGGAAGGGAAAAAAAAACTCCAGAGACGTTCCAGAGACAGGAAGTCTAGTCCTGCCAAGAATGTAATAAGGGTTAACGGAGGTACTTCCTTACAGGATTAGGCCAGTAATTTCTTCTAACAACCGGTTCTCTGAACTGCTTAGAATGTTAACAACCAATTCTAGCGTATAGGTGCAAACTGGTAGAATCCCACCCCTGCTGCTGAAGCGACCAGGAGTGCAGGCTTGCAGGAGGTGTTAGAATGCCTCTGCGAGTGCACAAAGTATGCGTTTGGCACGCGTGCGCACACGCAAAGTGTGTGCACACGCGCAAAGTGCGCCCACCAAGCCACGCCCACCGAACCGGTGGTAAAAATATTTGAATCCCATCACTGGTTTTTCAGAGCATTATAACAGTATAAGAAAGAAAATAGCAGTATTTCTTTTCTTTTTTTTGTAAATTTTGAGTTTTCACAAAAAAATACAAATAAAACATCTTTTTTGAAAGTAGCGTAATCCAGGGTTACATTTCTTCGTACAAACATAAATTCAATTTCGTGCTCATTTATTATGTTCTATTCCATTTCTTATTACTGTTTTACATTTTCTACATAGCTTCTCCCCTCTTTTAATTTTCTCAATTTTATTTTAATTATCTCGTCTCAATTCAAATCATTATATTTATACTTTTTGTCTGTCCTGTTTCAATTTCATATTATCTTTTCTCATTAAACAAAGTTTCTCCTGTAGTTACTGATTGGAGTATGACACCTTTATATCTTTTAAGTTTATCCATTTAACTCTTATTTAGGCTTCAATATATACCTTAAAGTTATAACATTAAATATAATAAATTCCATTCGGATTCTGCTTGGTACATTCTTAAAATACACACTATATTCTTTTTAAAAAAAGATTATAAATATATGTAATTAAAACAACACATTCCATTCTAATTCAATTCTATCATTAATGTTAATATTCATTAAAATCTTAACTTTTTTGACATTACTTTTCAATTAAATATCATACTTTTATGGGAACAGTTATAAGCTTTCCATAATTAATTTTCCACCCCTCTCCACTTATATTTTATAAAACATTAACTAATTAAAATGTTCCCGTCCCTTCCTAATTCAATTTTTTCATTTATTTTATTTCATTTATTTTATTCACAAACATTTCACTGGATTACAGTAACTATTTTATACCTCATTTTAATCATACATTGTTTCCAATTTTCTAAAATTATTTCTATTACTAATATAACAATACAATCTTATGTACCTTTACAGAATCCCTTTTTCAGTTAAATTTTCACCCATTATCTCTCAATAGGCCCTGTTTCTCTATATCTTGTTTCTGTCCTTTGTAACTTCTTTTCCTTTCCTTCTTCCCTCTCTTCTTCTCTCTCCCCTTTTTACCCCCCTGTCTCTCTACCTCTATTTCTCTCTTCTGTATTCTTCTCTTCTGTTGCTTTCCAATATTATACTTATTTTTTCGAACTATTTTTCTTTTCTTTGGTTGTTTGTTTAAGTCTTAAGTTCTCCATTCTCTTTTCCCCCTTTCCTTTTTCTTCCCCACATAAAATTGCTTGTTCATTAAAGATGGCTTCTTCTTTGTCCCAGTCTTCTTGTTTCGCAGTCGTTTCTTGTTGTTTCTCATAGTTCCAAATCTCCATTTCTAAGAATTGGAAAACAAAGCCAAAAGAACCCCTCCCTTCTTGTGCATCTTCTTTGTACTTTTTAAGTTCCATTTTCAATTCATCCAGAAGTAGTGCCATTGTATAAATTTTTAAACAACCACCCGATTAATTTTAGTCATTCAAATGCAACAACCAAGAATCCAAAGATCACCAAGTAATCCAAATACACGCAAGCTGTTTCTTTTTGCTTTTTTTTTCACTTTCTCATCCTGGGGTTCTACTGTTTAGTTGCCAAGTTTCAGTTAAAATGTATCTTTTAGAAGTCTTGTTGAAGTTTTACTGTAGATCCCTTTTAATTCCAGGCAGTCTCCTCCCTTTTTTCCAGATCCTGCCCTTTTATTCTTTTTCTCTCCTTTCCTGCTTATAAAATTTTTTTAGTATCCAGAAATCTTTATTATCCCTTTGACATTTTGTTTTATTTTCAACTTAATTGCCTGTTGATGTCAAAGCGGATTTTTTTCCCCGATTTCTTATTTAAGTCTTAGTTGTCAGTATAGGGAAAGGGAGAGAAGGAAAAAAAACCCCAAACCTTTCCCTTGTCACTTTCCTTTGCTGCTTCAGACTCTTCTTTGGGAACGATGTTATTTTTTAAATTCCAGGGTACCTTAGTTGTTGCTTTTGCAATTTAACCCGGTCAGCCAAAACTTTCACTTCTTATCTTCCTCCTGCACATTCTTTTCCGGTCGAGTTCTTCTTTGAGGTAGCCATTTCTGACCACCGCTGCAACCGCCTTCGGGAAAGGGAGTAAAGACCAGCTGAGGAGGAGAGATGCGGCTCTCCTCAACCCTGCTGGCAGTCTCCCCCCTCTTCACCACCTCTACGGGGTGGCTTAGCCCTGAAACCAGCCGGCTTGGGGCGCTCCAGCAGCGAGCCCAGATTGAAACCGCGCACAATCACGGATTTCTGTCTGTCACCGAAGAAGCTTGAAGAAGCTCAAACCAGAAGCCCCAAAATAGCAGTATTTCTTGAAATTCAACTTATCACATTTTTAAACAAACAAGATAAAATACATAAACAATTCTGCTTAAAAATTTAGACTTTTTTCTACTACATTACCATTCCTTGTCTTAAATATATATAATCACCTGGTTCTATTTCAACAGCCCACTATCTACACAGTCATGTGATATCCTAATCAGGAAGCTGGGTAAATATGTACATATACTTAATAACACATGCAGAAATATTTTTATGACACTAGCATGGTACTTTGTAATGCAAGAACTTGTTATATACATCAGAATATCTGAACAGCTCTAGATTAGGCTGCCCTTCAAATCACTGCAAGTGTAGATCAGGATTTTATTCAGAGCAAAGATGTTTCTAATTGTGTTACTTACTGTGACATTTTTCAGACATTCTTCACACGATTTATTTGTGTACTTCTGACACCCCACTGTGAAAATAAATAAATTAAATTAATATCTTCATTTTCCCAGCTTCTTCTCTGACTTTGTTTTGTTTTGCAATCAGACATAAGGCTGGATCCTTTGTGATTGAATGTCCAGAATCAAAATTATTTGTCTGTAATAATACTTACTTCTCGTTTGGAGAGATAACATTAAGTCAACATCCAACTGTTTTTATACTTAAAGGCAGCTGTTAAACTTCTCTTCTACAAAACCAGCAGTCTTTTTCCCATTTATGTGAGATTCTCAGACACTTTCTGGAGAAGTCCCTCTCGTTTGGCAAAGATCAAAGTGGTTTTTTTCCCCCGTTCCTCCTTCTTAGTGCTCGGAGAAAATGACTAGTCCAAGATCATGGAGTTTGCTTTGTGCCTAAGGCAGGACTAGAACTCATGGTCTCCTGATTTCTAGCCAAACTGACTCTCAAACAACCTTACACAATTCTTAACAGGTTATATGTACTTTGTTCAGGTAAAAGAAAATTGTTTCAGAATCAAGGCTTTCACATAATGCTTTAGCATACTGGTAATTGCATATACTATCAGGTCAGACATTTTATTTAGATATAATACTGATAGGAATATATAATCACAATCCTGCTTTATACAAAGTAAATGTGTTAAACTCAAATGCCAGAGTTTGTGTCCAAGTAATGCAGACCAACAGGATTAGATGTAAATTATTATACCAGTGCTATATCCCATTTTGAAAGCCAGTTTTGTGTGGGCACCAGGCTAGAATCCAGAAACTGTTCTAATCCCACCTGAGGCATGAAGTCAGCTGGGTGACTTTGGGCCACTCACTCAGCCCTAGGAAACTAGCAATGGCAGTTCCAAGGAAAGTAGACTTGTACAGGTAGTCACCAGGAAGCAACACTAACTCAAAGGCATAGAAAGACACGTTCCCAGTTTTAATTAGAATTGAAATATTAATTGGTATGAAACTTTTGAAGCATCTCCTTTACAATGGGAAATTGGGTACTATATTTTTTACTGTAGAATGCTTTTTGTCAAACAACTTTCATAGTTACTTGAATGTTAAACATTGGAAAAGGGAAAGACAATGTTGAATACAGTGAAAGTAAACTTTTAAATTAATGTAATAGTTACATAAGAGATTAAACACCAGTGCTCTGGTGTACAAATATGCAGCTTTGCAGATACTGACAAACCGCACCTCCCATTAATTCCAAATTATAAGGCACGCCGAGAGCTTTAGTTCAACTTCTGCAGAGCCATAGGTTGTTGTCCACTCTTGAGTTACTGATTATTATTTTTTTGCGCCTCCTTTCTCACTTAGACACAGCAAACACAGGGATCCGGGGACCAAACCACAAGGCTGGCGGCTCTATTTTCCTCTCCCCATTCTCCAAAATACACCCGCTGCTCTCTTTGCTTTTTGAACTCTGACTCAAAGCTGAAGAGAAGGTAAAAGCCGAAGCGGCGGCACAAAGTATACAAGGAGCCTCGCAACTGCTCCGACGACATTCCCTCTCTACCGCCCACGTCCCACGAGCAGAGGTCTCTTCTTACTTTCTTGCCCATGGGCCGTCAAGGCCATGGTATTCAGAGTCCAGAGGAGAAGCGGGAGGCCCAGCAGACACAAGCGGCGCAAGAAACCCATGGCGACTGAAACGAGTAAAGAGGCCGCTCGTCCTCTCTCCGAAGCCCTTCGGCTCCGCTCGCCCCGCCTTTTCAAGACCGGAAAACAGCCCTGGAAGAAAGGCGCCCGGGCCCGCCCATCGCCGTGCACGCGCACTGGTTTTTTTTTTTTTTTTTTTTTTTACGGAAGCACGCCATGGGCGGCCCTAGAGAGTGCGCGCCCCCGAAGTAAGGTGGGAGGGTCCGCATTTATGTTAACGCTTGGCCAAACGTAATACTTCGGTTTCTTTAGTGATAGCGGCTAAATTCTTATTTTCTTTTATATTATTTAAAAATACTGAAAAACAAAGTGCACCACCTAATAAGTTCTTAGGGATAGTGTTATTGTGAGTTGAAAGCTCCAACTTTCTGAGAGGGGTTGGCGGAAAGAAGCGCCCTGGCTAAACTTTCCATATTGTAACTAAGGTCAAAAAGGGGGAAAAAAAGGTTTGCCGGGAAATTGGGTCTGGTTTCTTTCGGATTCCATCTGGGCTCAAATGTCGCTCGTACGAGGGTGAGTTTGCAGAAAATGCTAACTCGTGCGTGTAGTAAATTAAACCAAGTAGGACTTCACAACTCTACTGAACTATTAAAACATTTTACATTTAGCATAATTTATAAATTCAGCCGTTATGATTTGTGAGCCATAGTTTATAGCAGAGGCCTCCTAACTTGGCAACTTTAAGACTTGTGGACTTCCAACTCCCAGAATTCTCCAGCCAGCATAGTTGGCTAGAGAATTCTGGGAGTTGAAGTCCACAAGTCTTAAAGTTGCCATATTTGGAGATCCCTGGTTTATAGCAAAGTATATGTTAACCAGGTTACTATGGCTAGTTCAACAAACCTGAGTAAAGTAAATTACACCATTGTGAATGATTCAGGGTAAATTTCTCACACTGTTCATAATGTACAACTTGGCTGGAGTGTGCTAAAAACACACAAATCTTCATCCTTTGTCCAACATGTAGGAACTCTGGCTTTCCAACTGATCTGCTGTTTGCCCTCAGCAGAGCAATTCCATTGTGGGCTATTGAATATTGTAATCACAAACCAGATTGCCTTTTTGGAAAAACATGAAAAGGTGGGATGGGTAATTCAGGTTTAACCCAATCTCATTTGGAAAGTTTGTTATGTGTTTGGAATTTGATTCCAGCCTAATCTATCTCGCAGGATTGTTATAAGAAAAAAACAGAGTTCTACAATATGCCATGTTGCCTTAATTTTTTTAAGATAAGGTGGAATATAATAAGTGACAAAATGAATGGGTCAAAAATGATGCTTTATTTTTCAATGGGACTTCTTAAGCAAACTCTGGCTCCTGAATTATATTCTTCACTTCCAGCTATCAAAATGTATCAGTGTATTAAAATTGTTGGAAAGTAACCAACAATGTTGAAATTACTATTTAGTTTAGTTTAGTTTCTTCTGAATCATTTTTTCATTATATTTGTTCATAAATCATATTTGTAGGCAATGACTCTGGATTGTATACCATTAAAATATACCTAATACAATATAAAAAAGAAAGCAATAAATCTAGATCTTATTTTAAACACTTGGTTGATGCAGGACAGGGAGATGAAACATAATTTAACACAATTTTGGCATTTGTTGTAATTGGGGGAGTGTTATATTTTATCTGTGTGTGTAAATTTTACTTGATATGTTAACTAGTGTACTGTTTTCTCGATGTGAATGTTTTATTTACTCTTGAGTAATGTAACATATTTAACCTGCAAAATGAATCTAAGCCCGTTTTCCAAAATTGAAATCTGCTTTACATATTGAGATGACTCTCCCTAATTATAATGAAACTCACCTTTGGAACAATTCACTTCCATCATTATACTTGTTCCCTGATTAAGGTAAATTTAAATAATATAAGTAATGTAAGTAATAAATGACCACATGATGGTGCCATAATATTGAGTTGTTTACTGAAACATGAAAATAACACTAGTTACTGAAGTGTCCCAAATGTTTTTTTAAGTTGTAAGATTCAAGTCATTATTGTATTAATTTTTAGAAATTTATTTGTGCTAAATTGTAAACAAGAGGCAAAATATGCAAATAAGAAGCAGAAGTATGCAATTCTGTCCGGACCAAGAGACAAACACATTTTCTAAATAGCAATAATACTTAGAATTATATACTGCTTCACAGTGCTTTACAGCCCTCTCTAAGCAGTTTACAGAGACAGCATATTGCCCCCAACAATCTGGGTCCTCATGTTACCAACCTTGGAGGGATTGAAGACTGAGTCAAACTTGAGCCCATGAGACTGGAACTGCTGAACTGCTGGCAGTCAGCAGAATTACCCTGCAATACTGCATTCTAACCACTGCACCACCACGGCTCTTCCATGGCATATTGTGGATTGAGTGCAGCAATTTTGGATTGATATTTATATTTGTAGTTCATTGAAATTATATACAATTGATATAATTATTCCAGCCATGTATTAATACATCTTCTCTCTTGATTAAATAATACAGTACTTAAAATCTCCCTCAAGCCTTTATGGATCTTTAAGCAGTTCAAAGCATCTTGTGGTGCAAAATGGTAGAAAGCACAATCACAGCCAACAGAGGAACTGGACCTTCCTTGTCAGTTTGACTTCAATAAATCGATATTATGTGAGTGGTTTTATCCCACAAGTCAGCCCTTTTGTAAGGGTGCCCAGATCATGCTTTAAATATCCCAGTGTTGGAATTGGCTCTAAAGAAGAGGCCCTTTGAGAGGTTGTCTTGGAATTGAATTATGGAAGACCTCTTAAATCTGGTTCTAGCTGGCCCTTAGCATCGGCTCCCATAAACACAAAAAGGAGCAGCCTTCTGTGTTAGTTAGGGGTGACTTATGTAGTATAGTGGTTCCCCATTTAAAAATAAACAACTTCAGAACGTGAACATGTGTGCATCTTGCTTAATAAAGCACATTTAAAAAATAAAGCTTATATACATACATGAATGCATCCACATACAATAACATATAACTTATTTGTTTTTAACTTTTACAGGAAGAACGAAAAACAATTTCACAACTTGGGGAGAGAGATTATGTAGATATAATCAGATATATTTGTGAAATTTAACAATTTACCAGGTGAAGTTCTGCATATTTATAAATGTAAGAAACTTCCTTTTGAAACATAAGGTATGGTTTAGCCAGAAAACAAAATATGTGAATAACTGATGTTGGAAGAAGTAGGAAGAAAAGTCACAGAGCCATTCTTCCTAAACTACCTGATATTTTAAATTGGCTTTATTGATTTAAAAAAAAACAGTGATTGTGTATTTTCAGAAACTACTGTGGATTTTCATGTAACATTTGTTTAATCCAGTAAGATATTACTGCCTGCTAGAAAAAAATCATTTGAAATCAACCCTGACTGTTCTTTGGAAGGAGGAATGCTGAAGCTGATACTGAAATACTTTGGCCATCTAAGGAGAAGAGGGGATTCATTGGAAAAGACCTAATATTGGGAAAGATAGAAGGCAAAAGGAAAAGGCTACGGCAGAGGATGAGATGGTTAGATAGTGTCATCCACGGAATGAACATGAATTTTGGCAAACTCGGTGTAGAGGACAGGGGAGCTGATGTGCTGTGGTCACATAGAGTCGGAAGCAGCCTAGTGACTGAACAACAAAACAAGGGAAGAAACTTCTAAAGCAGGGGTGTCCAACCTTTCACCTTCCCTGGGCCACATTAGAAGATGAAAATTTGGTTTGGGCCGCACATAAAATAAAATAACAGTAACGATACCTGATCATCCAAAAAAACCATAGAAAACATAGTTAACATATTAAATTTATTTGGAAATAAAGTTAGTGAGATGTTTTTATTATTTATTATTAATTATTAATTAAAAATTATTTATTTTTTATCACGGTTTTTTTATCACGGTTTTTTTTATCACGGTTTATTTTCCAGCCAAATTTTGCAGGGGGGGGAGAAAGCTCGCCCGCCTCGCGCCTACCTCTCCTGCAAATGGCCCGGCTGGATGAGGCAGGACTGGAAGGCAGAAGCAGCAGCAGGGCAGGGGCAGAAACGGCAGCGGGGGCAGAAGCGGCAGCGGGGGCAGAAGCGGCGGCGGCGGGGGCAGAAGCGGCAGCGGCGGCAGGGGCAGAAGCAGCGGTGGCGGGGGAAGAAGCGGCGGCGGTGGGGGCAGAAGTGGCGATGACGGCGGGGCAGCGGCGGGGGCAGAAGCGGCGGCAGCAGGGGCAGAAGTGGCAGCGGGGTCAGCGGCAGCAGGGGCAGAAGCAGCAGCGGTGGCAGGGGAAGAAGCGGCGGCGGTGGGGGCAGAAGCGGCGACGGCGGCGGGGGTGGCAGCAGGGGCAGAAGCGGTGGCGGTGGGGGCAGAAGTGGCGGGGGAAGCGGCGGCGGCGGTGGGGGCAGAAGGGACAGTGACAGCGGGGGCAGAAGGGGCGGCGGGGGCAGAAGCGACGGCAGCGGCGGGGGCAGAAGCGGCAACAGTGGCGGGGGCAGAAGCGGCAGCGATGGGGGCAGAAGTGGAAGCAGGGGCAGAAGCGGCAGTGGGGGCAGCGGCGGCAACAGCAGGAGGTGGCGCTCTGATGGCGCCCGCCTTTTCTGTTGCTGCTTGGCCTGGCGCTCGCCTCACCCCGGCCTCTCCTCCTCCTCCTCGCTGGCTCTGGCACGAAGGTTGGGGTGGGCACTGGGCCGCATTATGAGGCGACCTGGGCCGCATGCGGCCCGTGGGCCGCGGGTTGGACAAGTCTGTTCTAAAGGATATGTAAAGTATTGATAATTTGAGAGGTCGTTGGTGTTCTCTGAGCTTCGTTGTTTTCTTGCAAAGCTTCATTACCCAAACTAGATAACATCATCAGTAATACTAATTTGTTATCTAAGTCCTCCAGCTTTCCTTATTGTCTTGACATGAAGTGAACTGCTATGTTATAGAATATTCACAAATATTCTCATTTTAGGGCAATGTCAATAATAGAATGTTGCAAAATTATTCCTTTGCTTCTGAAGAAATGTTAGATCAGTCTAGAGATACAATAATCCTATATATTCATATAAGTTCAAAATTATATTCAAAATTATTGAAAGTATTTGGGATTTGCATTGGAGCTTCTGTATGCATTG